TTGATATCGCTAATCCAAATGCAGTTAAACTAAATGACGCTAAAAGCCATGTTGGCATCAGTCAGATTATGTTCCAGCATCTACATCATCTTTTGTGTACTTTTCAATAATAATAATGATAATCTCAAACCTGGAAAATGGATCAGACAGTCTATAAGCTACCGTTATGATATATTACTCAGGGAAAGATAAAAATGCTAAATTGATGTCGCCTTTGTGGCCATTTAATATTACTGGTGCTGTATTTTTAGTGACCACCTTGTAACTTTCTGTGGCCATGTGCCATCATTAATAACCACAGCCCATTGGCAGTCGCTACTCCGGAATCCTCATCAGTCAGATTTTACTACAAATTAAGCTAAAACACATAGCAAAATCTAGCTAAATACCTAGCTAAATAGCATCGACAGATTTAATGGATATAGCTTACTATCTAACTTCTGATGTTTTTAATCTACGACAGCTTCGTTGTTGGCACGGAATGTTGAATTTGATTGAAACGTGAACCCGTACTTCATTGATAAACCTAGTAGTGAACAGTGCGGTCTAAATTACTGTTCAAATTGAGCTACATTAGCTATTTGTTTCAGAGGAACATTCTTTTTCTTGTTTGTCTTCCTTCTCACAGCAAGCTTATTCAAATAAGTATAATGTTATTTTAATTGCATCTTTGCCCCCACAGACAAGTTGAGTAAGATTTTTCACTTTTATTGGATTTAATCATCTGAAGGAATATTTAGGCTCCTAGTCTCTCACGGGCCTTGACTATGACTATGTTGCCATGACGACAGGAAGTGCAAAGAGGAGTTTAACTGTGCAAGTCATTATAAAAACAGGCCCTGCTTATCTCTGAGGCTTCTGTACAAGATTGTTTATGAGCTAAAAGGCTGCAACCTTGATGCCTGGAACCAAGATACAATAATGAGACAGAAAATCAGACAGAGAGTTGTGCACATCTCGATGTTACATCTGTGAAGCTTTAATAAAAATACTCCTTTCCCCCTAATTTCCCTGCCATGTATTGATCCTCACTCAGATAGAAATGTCTGGCTAATTCGTTAACAGCATTTACCAGCTGTCTCTCAGTCATCTCATCTTCATATTCCGTATAATATAATCATTTGTTTATTTTTCCACCAATCCTTTAATTATTTCTGCACTCATTACTAACTCATCTTCCCATCAGGTTGACCCTGCTCACCTCTCCCCTCAAGGCTCACCTCTACTCCAGTTACTTATATGTGTCTTATATCTTTCAGCTCTGTCACACTTAGCCTTAAGAATTCTAGTGATACATTTATTCCTGGGCGGACATTTCACCCTCAAACAACATTACACTTATTAACGAGGCAGAAAATATTGAACATGGTGATTTTTCTTAACTTGGCCTGCTTCGTTTCTATAAAATTGTTGTCAGTGTGTCTGTACCTCTGGGTTTTAACATGTCAAAATGTGAAACATTGAAAGTGCAGTTCAACTAAGTGTTCGAGATTGAGTTTGAATGCCAGCGGTGCCTCAGCCAGCCATGGTATCATCTGGCATGCAGGACTGCGTCCTTAGTTCGTTTGCCTAGTCTGAATCATGGTTTATGTGTACTTGCTCCAATATGGTTGTACATATTTAAATGTCTGTGTAACAGCTCTGAAGCTTTAATAAAAACAATCCTTTCCGCTAATTTCCAAGCTTGATTAAATCTAAATTTCTGAATTAGGCTGGGATAAAAATATTTAATCTCTTACAGTTGTTAAGGCACAGAAAGGGAAGGTTTTGAAGTGAAAACTTCTCTGTTTTCACTACAAGGATCCACTTTTTCTAAGAGTATAGGGAGTATTTGCCAGTCCCCCTGTTATCCTTGGAGTACGTCAAGGACCCGTTCTAGGTTCCTTCCTTTTCCTTAGCTGTATTATAGTCGGCCATGCTTTCAGTTGCTTTGTCAGTGAACTCATAAGTTTACAGTTACTCATTTTGCAGATGCTTATAGTGACTTACCGTTGAGCAGATGAGGGTTAGAGGCTTGTTCAATAGTGGCCCAACCTGTCAGAGTTCTTTGGCCCAACAGTAGCAGCTTGGTGGGACTGGGGTTCAAACTCACAACCTTCCAATGCAATAATCCAGAGTCCTAACCACGGAGACACCACTGTATCTAAGCACAACTTCCACCACTGTCACTGCACCTCTGGCACTGAAAGCAAGCATCCTGGACCTAAAAATATTCTCAGATTAAGCACAAACAAGACAGAATTCCTTACATCTAGATTGTCCAAATATTGCATTAATATAGACAGTGTGTTTGTTGAATCAATTCAACTTGGTACAAATCGTGTCCTTGTATTAAATTAATATTTTATATATGAACCTCATAAAGTCAGTGTAAGCAGCGTTGGTGTTCTTATTAACTTTCGTCAGATTTAGACCAGCACTGTTCTTGCTTTTAATATCAGTGTGGAGATGCAATCACACACACTTTAATGCAAACAAGGCTCTTGGGTTGTTTTACTCCATCCATAGCCACATGGGTCTGCTGGTATCTCAGTATGGCTTACGTATTTCAAAGCCTTAATGCTCCAGGCTTTAATACACCACACAGTCCTTATCTGTTTTAATGACCCGGCACTGGTATAACAACTTCACTCTAAGAGAACACTTCCGTCTGCTAATGTGCTCATATGAAGGGCCAAGTCAAGTGTGTGTGTGTGCTTGTGGGGTTTCTGCACCAAGTTTGTGTGTGTATGTGTGTTAATGCACACCATGTGCCAGTAGAAAAGGAAAGAGTCCTGTTTGTGTGTGTGTGTGTGTGTGTGTATATATATGTGTGTGTGTGTGTGTGTGTGTGTATGTGTGAGAGAGAGAAAGTGATGAATGCAGTAGCAGCTAAACGCGTTTCATTTTCGAAGTTTTCAGTGAAATCACTTTTTATTACTGATCGCTGCCTGATGCTAAGTGATATTAATAACAAAGTCATGTTTACAGTGCAGCTGGACTATATTTATTAGATGCACTTTGAAATATTTATGAGGGGCAAGAGAGGACCTTTTTGTTTTGTAGCACTTTTTATGAAGCACAGTAATTTGTAATTAGGTTAAGGTGCTTAGTAAGTCTTTGTGCATCGGCCATTACATAAAGAACCAAAGAATCATAATTAATCTATTCATCATGCTGAATTTTTTATGTGTAATTTGTAGTTTAGTGCTAGGTGTTACTTAATTCCCATACCATGTCAGTGGTTCATATTTTAACCAAAATATGGTGCAATATAATTTCAATCTTACCTCTCTGTTCAAAATAAATATTAAAGGTGCGTTATAATTATTCACAGGCCATTATCATGCATAATGGTAGGGCACTGAGCCACATGGTATTATGATGAATAATAAATTGATTATAGTACTCTTTGCCCACAGTATAGTAATGCTCCATAAGAATAAGAAATACAAGTCAAGGGATATATTGTATATGAATGTTTTGGTGTGAAGCTACTGATCTAAGCTGGAATTCTAGGACCAAAAGGTTCATTTTCATATATAACCAGGCGCACTTAACCTACAGTATTTTCTACCATTTCTCCCGATGTACTGATCCATCAAACATTAAAAGGAGATTTGTAAATACATTTGTAGCTCAGTGGTTAAGGTGCTGTTTTAGGGTTGCAAGTTCAAATCCCAGAATTCCAGCAAGCCCTACTGAAAGTTGAGTGCTTCTGAGTATCCCTTAACTGCTCACCTAAATATATGTGTTGTGGATTGTATTCTGACTCATTTGTAAGTCACGTTGGATAAACATATTTGCCAAATGAATAGCTGTGAATGAAATGCTAAAAGAAGAACCCAGATTCTCTCTCTCTCTCTGTTCACAGGTACAAGATGCTGAACCAGGAGGAAGGTGAATACTACAATGTGCCGATTCCAGATGTGGATGACATTAACTTGGAACTCAGGCAGAAGTTTGAGGTGAGAGCAGCTTCACTCCAAATAAACTAAGATGGTAATGCTAATATTATTTTTGTTATATAGGCTTTTGGTCTTTTTCACAGTTGTGGCCAGAATGGAGCTTGCTTGAATAATTTGCTTGTTTCCAAATGATTTTGCATGTTTGAATGAGAACAACAAAATAGAAGATAAAAAGAGTTCTGGAGAAATTGAAATTTGTTTATCCAAAAAATAAATAAAAACCATTATGGCTGCAGATGCATGTGCTCTTTACTAGGGTAATGAATTTAGAGCTAATCATAAAGAGCAATAAGTTAGAGTTTTGTAAATACAAGACAAAAGTCTTGGTCTGCTGTACTCACCTGTCTCACCTGGCTTATAAAAAGTCATGTAGAAAAAGTCTTATAGAAAATCTGCAGTGGGAAGCTAATGCAACATAACATCAACTTTTCCATATAAACCAGGACTAAAAGTCAGTTAGAGCACTTTATGAAAGTTTGGAAGTTTGTTTCGTACATTTTAGTAACCTCTGCATTAAATATCTAACAATTCTTTTTAAGGTCATTTTGAAGGTAGTGTGATGCCATGAATTATTTTCAGCATGCGCTGAATTGTTTTATCCCTTGCATTTTGATACCTTACATAGTATATACACACATATTTTACATAATAGCACATAGTTACATAGTAACACACAATCTCATACAGTTGCTCATTTGGTAACTCTGACAGCTAGCTCTGCTAGTTTGCATTGATTCAGTCACCTACACTACGTAATTAACTCACTCAGGTCAACTCCGTCTGTGAACTCGGTCTCCCAGAATATATTACAGCCTACAGACATGGCCACCTCAGACTACGCTACCCAGAATCCACCACCATTGACACATTCACAATCACCAGACTGTTGAGCATACTCAGCCTGACCTTGAGCTTGCCCTTCGTTTTGGAATTGTCAGCCTGCCTGTTTGTTAATAAAAATACGTTCGACTGCATCTGCATGTGTCGCACCTCTCAGTTTGTGACACTTGCACTAAAAATATTACATTGAATCAATGCAAGCTGTATGAGCTAGTTCTAGTGGCTCAGTGGTTAAGCTGTTGAGTTAGAGATCAAAAGGTCATGTGTTTAAATCCCATCACCACCAAACTGCAATGGGTGGGTCCTTAAGCAAGACCCTTAACCTTCAGCTCAACTGTATGTTGCTCTTTTTTTTTTATAAGCATCAGCCAAATGAGCAAATGTACAGGATTATGTGTTATTTTATACTTTGTAAGATATTACAGTACTTTATTGTAAATATGTTTTACAGTTGCTTACTGTAAATTTGACAGTACTTTTACAGTCATTTTAGTCCCTAAAATTTGCAGTAGATTTTCTACAGTGCAGCTTTGATTGACAGTTAATGAGCTGTCTTTCCAAGCTGTCTTTCCAGTCAGAAAAGATTGTGTAACGTGGAAAACATGGACCTTTTGGTTTGTTTTTTGGCATAATCTGTTTTCCTGCAAATGCCAAATTTCTAATCTACTCCCTAGGTCACCATGGCGACTGTAGTTTTGGCAAGGTTGTTGATGCAGGCATTGGCAGAGTCGAGAGCTGCGGTGCCAGTGTGACCTGAGTGGTCACCGCACATGCTCACATGGTGCTGATATTAGTCAGTGATGCTGGAGGATGCTGCTCTATCCTCTCCATTTCTACAATAGCTATCATAAATTTAAAGCAAATTATTTACTGAAAGCAGTGGTGAATACTGTAATGTGTATACCAGGCAGGGCTCAGAGAACAAGCAGGCAACATAAAATCCATGATCATTAGTCAAAACATAAGCAAAACAAAAAAACTGGGACAAATGAGGATGAAACTATGGCTTTTTTAATGAGATGTTAAAATGCTTTTCATGCAGTAGAGGACCAAATAACAAAGTGAACACTTTATATACAGTGGGATCCAAAATTCTAGAGCACTAGATGCTCTCTAAAATCCTTCTGTTTTGCAGTATTTTCTAATTAAATACAAGAATCTTCACTACAGATTATATTACTGACAATAATTTGAGTGCAAAGTAGAATCTCTGAAATATTTACATGAATTTCCGAGTTTCTTACTATTTGGTACGTTCCTTTTTTTTGCTTTAATGACAGTGTGCACTCGAGCTGGCATGGACTCCACAGGCTTGTGCAAAATCCATTTTAGATCAAATTTGAATATTCCAGATATTGAACATTTACTTTCGTTGTTTTAAATATTTCTGTAATATTACTGAAATAGAAGAGCACAGTTATGATAAGCAGTGTTAACCAGTGAATGATGTATGAAGTTGAGGCAGTAAATATGAGTTAATTATTTGAGTTAATATTTGGGATTGTCCCGCATTAAGCTCAGTTATACAGCAAGCTCGGTGTACTTTTATATACTGTACACTGCATCTGTGCTATTAATAGAGATGACATAAAAATACTAACTACAGTCAGCTCCAGGATTATTGGCACCCTTGGTACTTTCTACAAAATCCCATAGCCAGCATAAGAGCACTGAGTTAATTCCCCTATAATGCTTGATGATATTGGAGAATACAGAGCAAGCAATCTGAGAGCACTCCTCAGTAAACAATCTCTCAACCTCATCCTCCAGCATTCTAGGAAAAATATCTGTAGCTCAATCATTTTGTTCCATTTGACTTAAGACAGGGACAACGTATATTATGCAGCAGATGTTGAAAATGCACAAAACGTAAGGTGTTGGACAAAGCAGGCCCAATTAATTACTATTAATAGCGTAACACTATCGAGGTTGGTTTGCATAAAAATGCATTGTTTATGAAAGGATCCATGTACTCTAATTCGCCCTTAAAATGATTAGACTATAATTGATTGTCACTTCTTTTTCTGTTCTTGGTTATACCAGTGTAAGACACGGTAATTTTATCCTGTACAGAAACATCTCCGAGGAAATTGTAATAACTGCGCTACTGCCGATGCTTTTCTTCTGTGTTAAAACTCTCTTTCAATGTCGAATGTGGCATTGACGTCCCTGAGGTGCCAGCACATCACTGAATACACTCACATTACCATGGAAACAAGACCTGGCAAAGGATGTGTTAGCAACTTATTGTTGACAGAGCTGACATGAAGCTGTTCTGATGAAACTAAACCTAATTTTTTTCTGGAATGTCATCAACTGCGCAGCATTTACCATACATCTGTCACCAGCATAAGATCTCTGACAGGATGTGTGAATTGGATTGGTTTGCTATATCTTCCAGCTGAAAAAATACCTCAGTGCCTGGAGGTCTGGCAGCTTTCAAGGTGTTCTGCTGAAATACGAGTTCTGAAAGAGGAAATGTCCCGAAAGAGGATCTATGCAATAAAATGCGTATATCCAGTGCCTCGTTGCCCTATTAAAGGGCATAAATATTTATCTCAGAGCCTGGGAATAGTAATAGTGCAATATCCTGCAAATATACAGGAATTCAAATGACAAAATTAAATATATTAATATCCTATTACTTAAAGTCCTATATCTTTATATATAACATTTGTACTATAGTGGATACTATAGTATAGTATAGTATAGTGGATACTTTAGTATAGTATAATGATACTATTATGTATTTTCGTATACTGACAGTATAAACTGGTCAAGTTAAATGCATAATATCAGGTAGCATAATCAGTCATGTAGCTGCAAAACAATTGAAAAAAAATATAAGCTGTAATTTTAAGTTCATGTGTAACCGTGAACCTGTATTTTAATACCACAATGCCATATTATTCGAAAATCCACAAAAAAAATCAACAACTGTAGACTAGAGATGAGGTTAAAAGAAATCATGTACAACGCAACCAAACGAAATAAACCAACACTGCTCGTTTCTTGATTATTCTTACTTTTTAATATCTGTTTGACTTTATTTCTGTGTAGGCTGGGTGCAAATGTGCATGTTCAGCATTTTTACAACCGCATAGCTATCACCTAGCCAGAAAGCACTTACTAATTACTAATTGCTGCTACAGAAGAAATCTCACAGGCTTATTTTTACTAAGAACATAGGCTGCATGTCCTCAGTCCTCCATTACTATCCATCAACTTATTTAAAAAAAAAATAAAATAAAAGATTGTAGGTCACTACACTGGGTGATGCATGTCAATCATTATATAAAAGACCAAATGACACTGGACGTGTTTCTGAAGGGTTCAGGGACATGTTGCAAATACACATCTATTATAACCAGCGTCTTAATCCGCAAGAGCTCTGTGAGACGTGCATAGGCAAGCCCATGTGTCCTGTTGTGTTTTTTTTTTTTTTTTTTT